GGGCCCTCAGAGCCCAAAATGGTCCCCCAGAGGCCAATGCAGGCCATGAAAGGTCCGACATCGGATCTTCCGAATCCAGTGCGAGACCCTCAGAGGCTAATATAATTGGCCCTTACAGGCCAGCATGGGGCCTCAGAGGTCAGTGTGGGTTCCTAAAAGACCGGCATGGGCCAGCGAGACCCCAGAGTTGGACCCCAGAGACAAGCAGAGTGCCCTCAAAAGCCAAGATTGGCCCTCAGAGGCCGATGCGGGCCCTTAGAGGCCGGCATCGGGTCTTCAGAATCCAGTGCGGGACCCTCAGAAGCTAATATGGGCCATACAGGCCAACATTGGGGCGTCTGAGGTCAGTGTTGGGTCCTAACTCCTAAAAGACCGGCATGAGCCAGCGTTAGGCCCCACAGACCAGCAGAGGGCCCCAAAGGCCAAAATAGGCCCTCAGAGGCCGATGCAGGCCCTTAGAGGCCGGCATCGGGTCTTCAAAATCCAGTACAGGGCCCTCAGGGACACGTAAAGGTTAGTCTTGGTACCCCAGAGACAGAACTGCCACCAGAAGCCGATGTGAGGCCCTCAGATGGGCCGGCGGATGGGCCCCTGATGCCGGTTTAGGGGCCCTTAAAGGCCAGCGGAGGGCTCTCAGAGGTCAATGCGGGTCCTCCACGGTCAGTGTGGGCACTTGACCACCATGGAAGGGCCCTCAGAGGTCAGTGTAGGGCCCCAAAAGACCGGTATGGAGCTGTTAATAGCTGATGTGGGTTTCTTGAGCCTAGTGACAATCGAATAAGGGCCGGGGCCCCATCGCTTGTTTTTTTTTTTGGGGGGGGGAAATTATATGATGACCCCTGATTTTCCCTTTGGGCGGGGGGCATGGCCCTGATGCCTACCCCCTCTACCCGCCGTCTCCGATCCCCACTCCGATGTTCCAGAGGGAATTGATTTAGGAAATGTTGGCTTGACCAGCGGCCGGCCCAGAGCGGCGGCCCAGTTCTGTCCTGATCCTGACCTCCCGCCGGGTCCACGCGCACTTTGGCGACCAGCCCCTCATACAGCTGGGTCTGCCCCAGCTCGTAACCGGCGGGCAGCTGCATATCGTCATCGGTCGGGTTTATAAGCTGGACCTGTATGTAACCAGCCGAGTTCGTTTGAGCAATCACGCTGGGCACCTCCAGAATCGGCTCGGGTGTCTCCTCGGGTGACTGGGAAACAAACTCGACCAATTTCTCGGACGAGTGCCGGCCTGCCGTATCCAGCTTTACGGCGACCACACGCACGTGCCTGGAGGCCGGAGGGCACCGTCACATCTGTGAGGAGGCACACCGCTCGTGGGCCTTTTTATTTATCGTGGCGATGTTGACGCGACCGTTCGCAACGCAAAACACATGTGTTTGGAGAGCTGAGCAAGTTGCGTCATTATTGTGTCCCGGGTTCTTTGCGTGTCCCCAGTAAAGGGAGCTCCAAAAACTTCTAGGGACAATCCCTAGTAGTTTTCGATGATTTCAAAACTTCTAGGGACAATGTCCCTAGTGTCCCTAGTGGTGGTGACGCCCATGGTTACGACTTGCTTAGAAAGAGCGAAGCTCGCTAAACGCTGCCACCAAATGTAGACATGGCCGTGAGTTAAATATCAGGCATGATATGCAGATATATTGTGAACACGAGTGACAGTTCCAAAACCAATTCCCAGCTCCAGTCTCAATGCCCCCGGCTCCAGAATGACCTTCAGACGACCTTCAGGTACAGAAGGTTCCCGAGGGGAAACCAATCGGCGGCTGCCCTGGCGTCGCAGCGCCAGCCAATCAGCAGCCGCCATCACTCTGCACACCAGTCGCCGCCAAGCTCGGCATATAGCCCACGGCGCGTGACCTGCGGCCGCGGGCGCTTGCGGCGGCGAAGTCCCACTTCCGACACAGTCTCGGAGCGGCAGTCCATTGTCAGCATATAGCCGCCCGAGCAATAGGCGGCGGCACGGGAGGAAAAGCCGCCCTCCTACACTATCATAGCCTCTGGTAATTTTTGGTCACAATGTGTAAAATTGATGCCCGGAGGGGTCCTGAAAGTTTGGTGGTGATATCTTTAGCCGTTTAGGAGATATCGACGGAAAAGGACAGGGGGACCGTTTCGCCCCCCCCCCCCCTACGCTACGGGGCGCGTGTTAAGGTGGAATGATCGCTTTAAATCGTCCGTACAGAGGTTTACTTATGGCGTCAAAGGTCAGTGACCCGACCTGCCCTGAAAATGCCGTTTATGTCAAAAGATTTCGTTCGAAGCAAAGCTCAGGTATGTTCACTTCTAGCTTTTTACAACTAGCGTGTTCCAAATAATTGCGAAAAAAAAAAGAAAAAACGGCAGCAGTGATAACCTCCCTTACGGCCGGGCAGGCTTCACCCTCGCCAGGCCAGCACCTTTTTCATAACAAACCCAAGTTTTAGTAAAGAAAAATAGCGGTCGGCTTTGCTATTGCTCTGCATTTCTACTATTTGCTGCTATTCTGCCACTTTGCAAATCGCAATTTCGTTGAATACCTAACTTCACTATTATTAAAATTTCACCTATTTCCGGACTCCGGAGTCAAGTATGTTTGTCATACACGAAGGCTCCTGTTAGTGTCAGATATCTTCCAACATTCCATATCAGGGGCCCGGGAACGATTTTCAAGTTGGGGGGGGGGGCGAGCCTAAAGTACCTGACATGATGCATATGAAACATTGGCGTAGCTGGGGGTCTAAGGGGACACGTACCCCTCCCCCCATCGGGTTCAAAGGGACACTCGGGTCCGAGGGGCCCTGCGGCGCCATTTGACCGCTGAGGGTTAACGATGGCCATATTTCGACTCAGAAGGTCCCCGCGGGGCTCGTAAGAGCACCTCACGGGCCCTAAATAGCCACACTAAGATCTCCATGGCCCCACGCCGGCTTCTGAGGGCCTCTTGCGGCTTTTAGGGGCCCCTCGGTTATCGGTAGTCTGCAAAGGCCCGTTACTGGCCTCTGAGAGTTCTTACCAGCCTATGAGGGGCCAGTTCTAGGGGCATTTCCCTCCTGTGAAGGCCCCACACTTATTTTTCTGAGGGCCCCATAACGGCAACTGTGGGGACCCTCATCGGCGCCTATGAGGGCCCCACACCGGTGACTCTGAGGGCCCCACCGGCGTCTGACAGTACCATGCCGGTCTCTATGGACCCCATCGGACTTCTTCTGCCGGCCTAAGGGCCCTTTACTGGTCACTGAGAGCCCCCTGCCGGCTTGTAGAAGGTTTGCGTTAGCAGCTCTTTGTAAAGGCCCCACACCCGTCTGTAACCGCTCCATACCGGCGTCTATGAGGGGCTGAGGGCCCACAGCAACGCCTGTAGGGACCTTCACCGGCGCCTCTGAGAGAATCACACTAGCACCTCTGAGCACCCACACCGGCACCTGCATGACGGCCCCACACCAGTACCTCTAAAGGCCCCTTACCGGCGGCTCTGAGGGCCCTACGCCGGTGATTCTGAGGGTGCTACCGATAACCGAAGGCACCACACAAGCCCTTAGTGTCGCTGAGTTTTAATCCCATACCGGCCTTCCGAGGGCGCCACATCAGTGCACTCATTGCCCCACACTCCTTCCTCACACCCAGAGCGGGTAAACTATGTTATACCTATAGCAACGATTTTACCAGCGTTGTACGTTATGTATTTCTCAAAGTTGACTCAAAATAGTCCAGTATAAAATCTGGCCTGCCAAACTTATGGCCAAGGTCAGGCCCAAACCAAAGCGAGATGACAATAGCACATGTTGTCAAATCGATACTGTATCAGCAGAAACCATTCAGATGGCAAGGACTAAATGCCGTGTGTTGATGTTTAGATGTATAAAGGAAACAAGAAGAAAAGAAGTTCGGAAAAGGAAGGAAAGATCCTTTCTCGCTGCCTCAATGTTAAGGGGGCGCCGCCCCCTCGGCTCTCAAGTTGGGGGAGAGCAAGCGCCCCCGCTGCCCCCTCCCCCCTGTTCCCGGGTCTATGTTCCATATCTTCGATGCAGATCTGGTTAAATGTAACAGCAGCATTTGTCCTGATTAAGTCTTCTGCTGCATCGAAAACAACTTGCTTCCCAAGTTTACGAATGTTCCATATCTGTCAGGTATATTCATCTATTTATCTATAAAAGAGCAAATAAGGACTGCAGGCTTTTCAGCGAATACAATCCGCACATGAGGATATGGTAAGTGGTATACAATGTTAACCCTCGCCGGCACAGGGGGGGGGGGTTGATGCAACCCCCCGTAAGGTTTTTCGCGAATAACTCGCGTAAAAAGCGGCCAATCGCGACGAAACTTTCAGTACCCTCGCATTAATCAATTTTACACCTACCCTGAAAATTTCATGACCCTGACTCCAATGACCTTTGACCTGTGACCTCTTTTCCGAGACCATGTTTGGCCGGAATCGCGATTCGGCGTATGTCGGCTAACATTAGCCGCGCGTTTGCAAGCTTTTTGTGGTTTCAAACGTTCAAACATGTGATTTGATGTCGCTCCCATACATTAGGGTGGGTGTCAAGGTCACCTGAAGGTCAGGTCAGGTCATTGACCTTTGGTGACCTCGGGTGACCTCGGTTCACTTTTTCGAGTTTTACATGTTTCTAGGCTAGTTTTTGGAGCTGAATTCGAATTTGGCAACCATTTGAACATTTACGAAGTAGTTTTGGTGCCTTCGTAACATGTTACGAAGCTGTCAGAGGCGGTTGACACGTATTACGAATACCCGTCACAACCCCTACCGGTTGACCTGACCTGACCTGACCCGACCTGGTCTAAATGCTTAAAGACATCATCTCTGATCAAAACTAACACGATATTCGTGATCAGAACCCCGGAAAACCACATAGCAGCCACAATTTACGACTTTCTAACAGGTCCCGATTTTCCCGGTTTTCGGGTCATTGACCTGACCTGGAAGGTCACCCGATGACCTAGGACCTTAAAATTGGGTATCATCGGCTTCGTCTCGTGACGGGCAACACGCTCGTTTTTTCCGCGAAGCTCTAGCTCGATCAGGGGCCAAACGCGAGGGGGGCCCTTGTGCCGTCGAAGGACGCAAAATGGCCTGTGCCGGCGAGGGTTAAAAATCCGGGCGTAAGCAGCTAGTCAATAAATCATGCTCCGATAACAAAATACCTGCATGATGATTCAAAGAATGGCCTCTACGAGCGTTATCCTACACAAGCGGTCTACAGAAGAGCAGGACTACTGGCGCCAGTGTTCAGCTGGTGGGCAGCCGCTCGGCGCCCCGCTGCCCGCCCCCTCATCCACCTTGGCCGACACAAACTCACTGCCGGGTCTCCACGGCGCCGGCCAGCACAACACCATACACCATTTCCATAGAGCATGGGCCGCGCCGCAGCCTCTCAGTGGGTGACGAACCCAGGCGGAAACAGCTCCGCGTCACTCACTCACTCAGCTACTCAGTCACTCACCCAATCAGCGACCACTTCAGCTGACTTGTATGCAGCTGATTTGTAACGCACTCTCCGTCCCTGCGCCGAAACTGAGAGCTGCGTGACAGCTGGGCAGCGCCACCTGTCTAGTGGAGGCCGGCGCCGCTAGCGCCACCTGCCCAGTGGAGGCCGGCGCCGCTAGCGCCACCTGTCCAGTGGAGGCCGGCGCCGCTAGCGCCACCTGCCCAGTGGAGGCCGGCGCCGCTCCGGTCCGCCGCCGCCGCCCGGGCCGACCGCTCGCTGCACAGCCGTCAGCCGGCGGCGGCGGAAGAGCAGATGGCCAGTCTGCCGGCTCCGTCCACTAGCGCAGCCCCAGCCACGTGATAACGCTAACTGCGGACGTCTCTCAAAACTTTGTTACACAGGTCGGCGAGATCGCTCCAAAAGCGGTACCAAATAGCGCTCAAAGGCGCTGAACCAACGGTACGTGCTACGCTCCGGTAACTTTTGACCCCTCGGATCGCATCATCCACCGGTGCCCAAGTGGCACGAAAGCTCTGGTGGGGTGGCCACAACACTGGAGCACTAGGGAGGGTGTGTGGCCGGCCTCTCTGACAGTAGGCTGCCAGAGGCCGGCGAGGGCCGCTCGGGCACGGTCAGCCTGGTCGGCCGGCGACTCCCCGCCTCTCCGGATGGCCGCGCTCGCTAGAGCCACGGCGGTGCTCTCCCCATATCACACACGGGCGCCAGCCGGCCGGCCAGTCCCGGGCACGCCGCCACGCTAGCGGCCACTATAGTACGTAGAAGCACCAGTAAACCGTGTTGAAGAGCACAAACGACACGGGAAAGACGACGCGCGAGTACTTGTCGATGATGTTGACGTCCTTGATGCGCGGGATGGAGCGCGAGAAGACGGAGGCGCCGCGCCGCAGGGTGCTCATCACCCGGCGGCGGGGCGCTGGTGCGCGGCCCCGGCCCCCCGTCGAGTAGCCGCGAGACATGCGGAAACTGGGCGGAAACGACAGGGCGCCGCCGCTGTCGACGGCCCCGTATCGGCCCGTGCGCCGGTTCCGGATCGACGGGATCGGCGAGACGCGAATGTCCTGCAGCTCGATAATTTCTTCGCTGGTGAAGCCGTCCACCTTCACGGTCTGGCTGCCGGCCCCGGCGGCGGCGGCGGCACCGTTCTCGCGCAGACGCTTGTCCTTCTTCTTGGCCCGCGCGCCCCAGTAGGTGTAGTTCACGGCGGCGTACTCGAGCAGGGCGGCGAACACGAACACGAAGCACATGACCAGGTAGATGTCGATGGCCTTGACGTAGGAGATGCGCGGCAGCGAGGAGCGCACGCCCGTGCTGATGGTGGTCATCGTCAGCACGGTGGTAATGCCTGCCGGACACGGACCGCAGGTTACTGGACACGGACCGCAGGTTACTGGACACGGACCGCAGGTTACTGCCGGACACGGACCGCAGGTTACTGGACACGGACCGCAGGTTACTGCCGGACACGGACCGCAGGTTACTGGACACGGACCGCAGGTTACTGGACACGGACCGCAGGTTACTGGACACGGACCGCATGTTACTGCCGGACACGGACCGCAGGTTACTGGACACGGACCGCAGGTTACTGGACACGGACCGCAGGTTACTGCCGGACACGGACCACAGGTTACTGCCGGACACGGACCGCAGGTTACTGGACACGGACCGCAGGTTACTGGACACGGACCGCAGGTTACTGGACACGGACCGCAGGTTACTGCCGGACACGGACCGCAGGTTACTGCCGGACACGGACCGCAGGTTACTGGACACGGACCGCAGGTTACTGGACACGGACCGCAGGTTACTGGACACGGACCGCATGTTACTGCCGGACACGGACCGCAGGTTACTGGACACGGACCGCAGGTTACTGCCGGACACGGACCACAGGTTACTGCCGGACACGGACCGCAGGTTACTGGACACGGACCGCAGGTTACTGGACACGGACCGCAGGTTACTGCCGGACACGGACCGCAGGTTACTGCCGGACACGGACCGCAGGTTACTGGACACGGACCGCAGGTTACTGGACACGGACCGCAGGTTACTGCCGGACACGGACCGCAGGTTACTGGACACGGACCGCAGGCTACTGCCGGACACGGACCGCAGGCTACTGCCGGACACGGACCGCAGGTTACTGCCGGACACGGACCGCAGGTTACTGGACACGGACCGCAGGTTACTGGACACGGACCGCAGGCTACTGCCGGACACGGACCGCAGGTTACTGGACACGGACCGCAGGTTACTGCCGGACACGGACCGCAGGTTACTGAACACGGACCGCAGGTTACTGGACACGGACCGCAGGTTATTGGACACGGACCACAGGCTACTGCCGGACACGGACCGCAGGTTACTGCCGGACACGGACCGCAGGTTACTGCCGGACACGGACCGCAGGTTACTGGACACGGACCGCAGGTTACTGCCGGACACGGACCGCAGGTTACTGCCGGACACGGACCGCAGGCTACTGCCGGACACGGACCGCAGGCTACTGGACACGGACCGCAGGCTACTGCCGGACACGGACCGCAGGTTACTGCCGGACACGGAACGCAGGTTACTGGACACGGACCGCAGGTTACTGGACACGGACCGCAGGTTACTGCCGGACACGGACCGCAGGTTACTGCCGGACACGGACCGCAGGTTACTGGACACGGACCGCAGGTTACTGCCGGACACGGACCGCAGGTTACTGGACACGGACCGCAGGCTACTGCCGGACACGGACCGCAGGTTACTGCCGGACACGGACCGCAGGTTACTGCCGGACACGGACCGCAGGTTACTGCCGGACACGGACCGCAGGTTACTGCCGGACACGGACCGCAGGTTACTGGACACGGACCGCAGGTTACTGCCGGACACGGACCGCAGGTTACTGGACACGGACCGCAGGTTACTGCCGAACACGGACCGCAGGTTACTGGACACGGACCGCAGGTTATACATAATACTGAACGAGGCCGGTGTAAATAAAATTTCAAGACCGAGGTCCTTGCTGGATTTTTTACTAGGCCGAAGGCCGATTTCAAAAATCAGTAAGGACTGAGGTCTTGAAAATATATCACCGGCTGAGTTTGGTTACGGAGCGAGCGAAGCGAGCGGAGTCTTGTCAAGCTACACGGGACACACTTTCGCTTTTTTATTTTTCGGTTTTTCGCTTTTCGGTTCGATTTATCACTTTTTCGCGTCGGTTTTTCGATTTTCGATTTATCGCTTCGTGACTTGAGTTTTTCGAGTTTCATTAATTTTTGTTTAGTTGGAACGCGTTGTGCAAACGCCAGCTCTTTTTATTTTGTTTGTAACCAGTGCAAAACGTTGGTCGAAACTGCCTAGGGGTCTGTTTTGTTGTCTGTTTTAACCCTCGCCGGCCGAGAGGGGGGGGGGGCGGGTGCCGCTCCCACCCATAGGTTTTTTTCGCGATAGCTCCGAACACGCTGGGGATAGAGAGCTGAAACTTGGCATGCCTGACCTTTGATTCAAGCCGGATCTTTGACACCAACCGCATTTTTGGATCAGGTCAGGTCACTGACCTATGACGTCATAAGGGAACCTCTGCACGGTCTTCAGATGTCGCAACTTCGCAACGCCCTCACTGCCAGAGGAGATGTCACAGGGAAATGAAACTTGCAGGATCTAGTATCCATTATGAGTCTCACAACTTGTAAATCTCGGATTTTTCCTAAAGGTCATATGAGGTCAGGTCATTTTCGTGACCTCACCATTATCCCGTGCCCCGCTGGGCTATTCAGCCATACGCACCCTGCTGGGGGAGGGGGGCATATTCTGCCCCCCCCCCTGTCTTACTTCCGAACCGATGGTCGTAGAAAGACGGGAAAAACGACAATCGAAAGCTCTCAACAAGGCGGATCTTTAAAGCCCAAATTTTTTTGCTTAAGTAGGTCAGAGGTCAGGTCAAGGTCAGGTCAAGGGTACAAAATGCAAGTTTCTACAGTATCGGCCTTGCACCGTAGTTGCCAAAGAATAGACTGAGACTGATTGCCCAAAACGTGTTCTTAGGCTACCAAGGCAATATTCGTTGCATACAATATCATTCAAAGGTCAAGGTCAGGTCAGGTCAGGTCACCAAAAACAAAATATAGAAAAGGGCATGTGCGACACATGTTTTATGGGTCATTTTATTCATAGAATTCAATAGGCACACTCAATAAGTGATATGGACCACCTCTGGATGAATTTCAGGTAGAGGTCAGGTCAAGGTCAGGTCAAGTGAGGTCAAATTTTGAAGTTGGTTGTTAGGGCCTAAAAAAGTGTCTATCTGATGCAGTATCTGGTGCAGTTTTTCACGGCGAATCGAATGGTGCTATTTTTGTTTCCGTACGAGGTCTAGAACTTCCAAAAAACATTTTTCAAAATTTTGTGTTTCGTGACGTCATAACATGTTGAACAACTCCCACATTTTGAACCAATTCTTCTAAAAATTGGTATTTAAGTGCACATAGACCAGTTCTCTAATATATATTCCGTTTTTTCGATACAATAAAAATTTTGGATTTTCTAATTATTTTCCCAAAAAAAATCAGTTTTTTGGAAAAATTTGGGCCAAAATCCAAAATTTTGAAAAACCGAGATTGACATTTGAGACAAAGTAAAATCACGTATAACCTTTTTTGTTATGTCTTGGTTCCTTAAAAAATGAAGATGTTAGCGGCGTTTGTAATTTTGCCGTTTTTGAGGCAAAAATGGCGAACATGACGTCACTAAAACGTCATTTTCTCAAAAATTCCCGGCGGATTTCGCTCAAATTTTCAGGGAACGTGTCAAATTGATGTACATATGATAAGGTAGGTACTGAAAGTTTGACGTCGCTGGCGTCACGCGTTTTGAAGTTATTGGCGAAAAACGGGAGGGTGGCAGATTCTGCACCCCCCCCCCCCCCCCAGCGGGGCGCGGGTTATAAGTCAATGGGGAAAAATGAAACTGCTACTCTGGCGCCGGGAACGATCTCCAACTATCTCAAGCACACAGAATCGTGATTTGATGCACTCCTTGCAAGGTTAGATGCGTCACTTTTGCAATGTTGACCTTGCGTGACGTCATTTATGACGTAATCAAGGTCATATTAGTTTTCCGTCAATACTCCCGATTAAATTGAGTTAGCGAGTCGGGAAAGCCACCAATGGACTCCGGAAGACATGCCGAATCGAATGCTATGCGACATGACCTCTTCCGACCAACTTCGTGACCTGGGGGTGCTGACCTGACCGTGACCTGACGTCAACACCCTAAGCATGGATGAAGGAGAACCTGGATTGGAAACTAACAGCTGATTGCGTTCCCTTCGGTAAGTGCCCGAGGGCACGCGCGGCGGCAGCGGGAGCCGCGTCTGCCGCGCATTCACTGGCGCCGCGTAAGCGTTCACCGGCGCCGCGTAGAGAAAAACACTAGAAATGGCCCTCTTTTTCAAGGTCGCCTGTATTCGGCCCTCGTGTACGACTTTTGTGCGGAACGGACAATAATAGTTTTGGTCTCATTCGATAGCCTGATCAATTTTGTCTGTCGTAAATAGCTTCTAAACCTAAAAATAAATCCGCATTGCGGTCTAATACCCGTTTCAAAACATGCCGCCCCGCGTCCCCCATAGGCCGTAATGCTTAACGGCGGGAGTTTCCAGTCCCGATACTTACCGAACGCTAGGTGGCAGGTCGATCGCCCGGAACGCTGCCCGTAATGTTGAAGGAATAGGAGTTTCCTATCCAGGTTCTTTCATCCATGCCCTAAGTTTACCTGACCCAAACAAAAAGTAGTATCATTCGACGCACCTGAGCAAGGCAAACACTCAGAGGTCACCGGTTGACCTAGGACCTTAAAATCGGGTACACTCGGGGGCAGATTGATGTTCCACCACTCCCTACCCATCGGGCTCCCATGGCTCAGCACTGGCTGCTGCCAGTGCAGGCAGCACTGGCAGCACTGGCACGGCAGGCAGTGCTGAGCAGTGCTGAGGGCAGGCACCACTGGTTGCTGCCAGTGCTGAGCCATGGGAACCCGATGCAGGGCAGGGAGTGGTGGAACATCAATCAATCTGCCCCCGAGTGTACCAATCTCTGCGTCTCGTAACGGCGCACACGCTCGTTTTTTTTCCGCGACGCGCTAGCTCCACCAGGGGCGAAACGGCGAGGGGGGTCGTACCCGCCCCCCCCCTCGGCCGGCGCGTATGTAGAAAACCAATAGGTCCGGCGAGGGTTAAGCTGAATGTCACGTGTTTTAACCTGCCTGTCAATTGTTTTAATTCAGAAATCAACTAGATGGCATATTTCGCGCTATAACTGTGCGTTTTGATAGATGCATTTGATGGGGCATTAGTTTGGGTGTGGGAACTTATGATTTTTATTTGTCTTATTTTGTCGGAGTTGGATATTTGTTTGAACGGCATGTTATGCTGGTGCTGGTTGCGGGTTGTTAGAGCCTTTCTCATGGTTTGCCTTTATCGAACTCAAACCCACCCTACCCTACCCTAACCTAACCATACCCTACCTTACTAATAACACATCGTTACCCTTCTCATACTCGATTAAAGTAACGTACCAAGTTTGAGCGCCATTGGCCCAGCCGTTCTTGAGATATCAAACTGGCCCACTGCACGTGCGCACGCGCTAGCTGAGACTCCAGATGACTTGTGCCAGCCACCTTTCTAAATTGTCCCCAACAGTGAACAAAATTTGAGCGAAATCGGCCCAGCCGTTCTTGAGATGTAGAAGCGGACCCCTCACGTGCGCACGTGCAATCGATCCACCCTACCTGTCAGAAATGACGATGCATCGCCAGGTTATTGTCCCCTCCACCCACAGTCCAAGGTTCAGCGCAATCGGCCCAGTAGTAGCTGAGTTATTCCTAGTACAATAATGTGCTGTTTACTGGTAGGCGCTTATTTTCAGTGTTTGGAATTCCCCTTTGCGGGCGGTGCATTGCAGCCCATGCTTTGAAAGCTATTAACAAAATTTGAATGGCCTGCCGGCCATAAGCCATCGATCGGATTTTGTCGAAAAATACCTGTAACGTTAACGAAACACGGTCGTATGTTTGAGTCATTTTCACCCAAGTTTATTGACTTTTCGATAATATTTTGGGTGGATATTGGTCAGAAAAGAATGCTCTTTCCGAATATGTAGGTTTCATAGCGATTGATCAACGTTTTCAATACGCTTCGATGTTGTAAAGGACATCGCGCTCCGCGCGAAATAAATTTTCCAATTAATGTTTCGTTATTAAGGAAATGGTACGGATCATCGCTTTTTATCTGCTATCCTCTGATTACACGTACATTTGCCTGCAAAATGGCACCACACCGATTTCATTCCGTCAAGCCGTTTTCCAGCGGCATCGATTTTCCCGTCACAATGCACGAAATCGGTCATTTTTTCACAACCGGGGATGCTGTCTTGCACGTGGCGCGTGCTACACTATGAAACCATATCAATACGTTAGGCCCATCTCTCCTCTATCCATTGGTGGCAACCGCTTTTCGCTGCGTCCACCCATTGCCGAGATATCAAGCCGGAAAGCGAGCCGTGTCGGCCCGATTTTCGGCCGACCGCCGCTCTCGCCGACACCATGCTATCCCTATGAGAGCACCCTTTTGCACGTGCCGACGGCGCACCCCTGGCCCGATCACGCCCAAATTTTAATACAAAGGCCGCCCACGCCCACAGATTCGGCATGCCAAATTTCACGCCGATACGCGGCGCCTTTCAGGCGCAATAAGACACATAAGGCATGACACACGCACAGACATCTTATAAATCATAATATAGACTGTTTTAAAATTGGACTTATTTGTCATAAAATGCATCGAAAATGGTGTAGACGTGATGTACATACCTATATCAAGGGTAAGGAATCTGCTCGTTTCAGAGAATTTCATGTAAGTACCAAGAAGTGATGTACTTGTAAGTACATACTTGTTCAACGGTAATTTTCAGCGCTCCCTGCTTACGTGACTTCAAGGTGAGATATTAGCTGCAAGGTACTCATTTGAGCAAAATGATTTTAATTTACATTATAACTCGTTGTGTTTTATCAGGAAATGGTTTTAACTCAGTTTTGTGGAAAAAATGTCATATTTAACCTTTAAAGGCCAACAGGAGGAGAATATCGTTGGGAGGTAAGCACAGGAGTGAACACTGGAGACAGACTCGCCAGCTAGCCTGCTGATTTCAGTTGGGCCGTGGCTGCTGGAAGCAGACATCTAGTAGACAATGCCAGAGCGCGGCCTGCTGCAGTGAGGTGCGGCACGGAGCCACCGACTGTGGGCACCACGCCCATGTGACCTCATGTCAAGGTGAGTGTAGTGAAGTGGCAAAGAGCTTACTGGTTTACCTTTACATTAACCATATTTCTAGTTTCACTGGATGTATGACAGGCCATGGACTTTAACTGGAGCCAGGTCTGGGCGGCTGGCTCACCGAGGGCAACGCGGGCGCTGGTCGCCTCGTGGTTGATCCAGAACGACACCCAGGAGAGCATCACGATCAGGATGGACGGCAGGTAGGTCTGGAAGACGAAGTAGCCGATGTTGCGCTGCAGCAGGAAGGAGAGCGACAGCCGCTGGTAGATGCCCGTGGCCAGCTTCTCCTTGCGGTCGTTGGTTTCGTATCCGACGATGGTGAACTGGGGCAGCTTGGCTTCCTCCACACCGACCACAGGCGTCTCCTTCCAGTACATGACCACGTCCTTCACCGTGTAACCGTCTGCAGAAAACAAACACACACACACCAACAGCGGGCGTCAGCGTGAGCATGCCCGCGGCAGCCGCGCCAACAGCATAATGTTGGCATGTACAGTCGTGTACAGGATGATGTTCCGCTACTCTTTATCCACCGGGTTCCTATGGCTCAGCATTGGCAGCAGCCGCCTGGTACCGGTAGGCTGTGCCGCATGACCCGAGAGTGAAGCGGCACAGCCTACCCACACTGTATGACACCGGCTCGGGTCGCCTGGTAGAGCGATTTGACCGGACGCTGCGTTACACCGGCTTGGGGGAGGGGTAAGGGTCAGGCCTGTCTATTTGGCTCGGCTCGGTGGATGAGGCGGGCTGGAGTGTGGTGTGGGGCGGAGGTGATGTGGGGAGGGAGTGAGCAGACCTGGGGCTGGGTGTGTGTGGTCACTTGTCGCATAGAACCGATCGTAATCCACCCTCCAAAAATTCGCTTTAGAGATATTCACAAAACCCAGGGGGGTCCAAACACCCATATTCCAAGTGGGGTGCGGAAGGACAGGTAAGGGTCCATACGGTCTCCTCGTGAATTGCAGCAAAGAAAGAAAACAGACCTGTCACCAAATAATCTTTCTGAAAAGTGGACTAATCGCTAAGCCTCCCACACAGAAATAAACATCCAGCACGCGAAGCGTCTCGAACCGGGCCTCTCACTACCAGCCAGTTTGACAGTCTGGCACTCCTACGCTGAGCTACACTGGATCGCGGATTACGCCGGGGCAAAGTCCGGCCGGGCGGGCGGCGGGGCCGGGCGGTCGGCAGCAAACTTAGGCGGCGTTCGATGTCTCCCGGACGGCAAAGATTCTTTGCCGTCCAGCCAATCCCGTCCAAGGTCAGCGGGGGCTCGGCTGCGGTTATGAAACGTGATTGGCCGGACGGCGTAGAATCTTCGCCGTCCGAGAGACATCGAACGCGGGGTTAATGAATGTTTTTGTGTTTTCGGGTACCGGTCGCTCTGGCTTGGTGGAATGATGATGGATCATTGGCAAAACTTTCAACGTGGAGTCCCGGTTCGAGCCTCATCGGGGCTCCGGCTACTTTTCCGAGTTAGGATCTGGTTTGATTTTAGTGGTTGCGAGCCATTTATACGGTTTTATACCTACATGTCAATTGCCGATTGATTGATTGATTCATTCATTCGTTCACTTTTAATACATGTCGACATTTAGCATACGAATTGACATCCAGGATCAATCTACCATTTTCATAAATATATTGTCTAAATATCATGCATATATGTGGCACAAGACCTATGGTTGCCTCGATACCGTGCCAACTCACGTTTTGCACAATGCACAAGTAAAGTAAATTATATTCGCTGGGTCTTCCGTGCATTGTGCTTAGCAAAACCAGGAATGCAATTGTTAAAGGGACTATCCCACCTTCTAAAATGTTGTTAAAACCAGTTAAATTGTGCCCAACTTTATAGATTGGATGACCAGGAACACGGTTCTAGCATTTATTTTTCATTAAACATCTTAGGCTTCCCATATTCCAAACACAAACTTTCAAATATGTGACGTCACAGCCCAAAATTACCTCCTTCCCCAGGCCACATTACTGTCATAAAACTGATTCTTTTTACTCTGTAGGCACCACAACAAAGTTCAGACCAAGTTTTAAGCGATTTTTCAACGAACAAACCCATTTAAATCAGAATGACTAAACGAGGTGACGTCACACTAACGGTCGCCCCATGTTGAAGATAGGGCCTTGTACAAGGCCCATTTTCAAATGAAGGGAACGAATTTCTTCAACACCAAGAGGCCGCGGGGGTTGCAACCTAGATAGATAGTGGTTTCTGAACCTCGCCGCAAACTTGGCTATCTCAACTCAAACCCCATGTTAAAGGTGGGATAGTCCCTCACACATTCATTCACCCTCACATTTTGCGACGCAAAATGTGCAATGCAGTAAGTGACCACACACACCCGCCCAGCCCCCATGGTCCACCAACACGCCCCACACCACTCGCCAGCCCACGCCAACCACCGAGACGAGCCCCTCCCCCCGCGCTGGTCTGACGCAACAGCTGGTCTACAAAGCGCTCCACCTGGCGACCCGAGCCGATGTCAAACGGCGTGGGTAGACTGTGCCGCTTCACTCTCGGGTCATGCGGCACAGTCTACCGGTACCAGGCGGCTGCTACCAATGCTGAGCCATAGGAACCCGGTGGATAAAGAGTAGCGGACCATCAACCTGTACACGACTGTACCAGCCACCAGACTGAGCACATGTCCGTACAGTGTGACACTGATAAGTGGCAAATTCAGTTTCAGCCGCCACAGGGGCTGAGGGCTCATCAAACTTTACGCAACATAACAGTTCGTTTTAGAGATGACACCATACCTCCACTCGAAATTTCAGAAGGCAATATTATTACAGACAATCCAAGTAAAGTCATAGCTCTTAACGATTACTTCGCAGCACAAACTTTCCTTGACATCTCTGACGAACAAGAACCGCCACCAAACACAAACACGCAGCCGGTACCCGTCCTCGCCAACATCTCCACAACAGAACAGGAAGTCCTCTATTATCTTAACTCTATTGACCCAAACAAATCAACAGGACCAGACAAAATTCCCACAAAATTCCTAAAAATGACAGCACTTCTAATAACAAAACCTTTGGCCATGTTGTTCAATGCTTCACTGTCTAGCGGTATATATCCAAAAGCATTTAAAGAAGCCAACGTTCGGCCAATATTTAAAAACAAAGGTTCACCATCTGACTTCACTTCTTACCGTCCGATAAGCCTACTGTCACCATTGTCAAAAATATTTGAAAAAATAGTTCACAGGCAAATATACTCCCACTTCACCGAAAATAATCTACTTACAGATAAACAAAGCGGATACCGAAAAACCACAGCACACAGGATCAACTACTTTACTTAACTGATAACCTTTACAAATCACTTGACGATGGACACAATTTTACTGCTATTTATTTGGTCATATCTAAATATTTTGATACTATTTGGCATAAGGCTGCTGCCGGACATTGGTCACGTGACCACATTTTCCGTGTGACCTTGAGTTGGCACCAGATTTTGTCGACAGACGTGGCGCAGCTTATTTTACTGCATTATTTTAGATACTAAATATTTAGGCGTGTGGTGGTAAATGATACCGTGCAAATAATATTGAATCATCGGTGACATAGTTACCATTGATACTTGAATAGCATCAATAAAATGCAATAAATCTATTATTACTCTTCCATTGATTTTATTGTGTTTGCAGGCATAGGTAGAAACTGAAAAGCTGAGCCTGCAGCTTACAGTTGTTCTATACAGTAGCGGCGGAACATCTTCAATTAAGGGGGGGGGGCACTGCCGACTTTCGGTCCGATTCTTTCCATGCAACGCCCATGGGGCTAATGTTAAAATGCCAAAATTATAGGGGGCACGGTGGCCCGGTGCCCTCCCCGTTCCGCCGCCTATGGTTCTAATCAATGCTACTGAGGGCTGCATATTTGTTTTTTACCTATCTTTAATAACTGATGCCCTACCTTCATCTACCATTATCTGTAAGAATCTTGCATCAATCATCACCAGACTTTAGTTTTTTTTACATACCTACGCCCCAGCCGCGAGAGTGGGCGGGTACGACTCCCTCGTGAGCTAGCCTCGCGGGAAAAACGAGCATGTGTGCCGTTACGGGACCGGGGACGCAGCGATTGACGCACGGTTTAAAAGTCTCAGGTCAACTGATGGCCTCTGAGGGTCAGGTCAAGTGCCCCGAGGGCCAAAATACGATTTCGGGTTTTGAAAAATAACTTTGTAAAAAAAACGGCGCAGAGTCGCGATTTTAGTACCATCATGTTTGTCATGCTCCGGTGCGTCAAAATGGTACCTACACTTTTGTTTGGGTGGGGTCAACATAAGGTGTTCACATCGGATCAAAGCCAGATCAGAGGCACTCAGGTCACGAACTTGGTCGGAGGAGGTTATATCGCATATCATTCGATTCGGTAGGTCTTCCCGAGTCTATTGGCGACTTTTCCGACTTGCCAGCTCAATTTTATCAGGAGTTATTGACGAAAAAACTTGTGACATTTGTGACGTCATGAATGACGTCACGCTAGGTTAAAGATGCAAAAGTGAAGCATTGGACATTGTAAAAATTGCATGAAATTGCGATTCCATGTGCTTGAGCTAGGTTTAGATCATTCTCGGCGTCAAAATTACAGTTTCCATATTTTCCCCATTGACTTGTAATGGTGACGTCGCGTGATCGGCCTGACCTCATGTGACCTCTAGGAGAAATCTGAGATATACAAGTTTTGAGACTCCTAGAGGATACTAGGTCCTGTATCATCTCGCTGTGACAGCTCCTCTGGCACCGAGGGCATTGCGAAGTTTCGGTATTTTGGGACTATTGCAGAGGTTCACGTGTGACGTCATAAGTCAGTGACCTGACCTGAGACGGAAATGCAATTGGTTTCCAAAGATGCGTATGGAAGCAAAGATAAGGTGTGCCAAATATCAGCCCTCGAGCTGTAAGGTGTTTTGAGCTATCGCCAAAAGTCGTGAGTGGAGCGCTACTGACTCTTCCGGTCGGCCGCCGGGGGTAAGGAGGCGTGCAGGGTATCAGAAAACCACCTGGTACTTTGCGAATTTTGCCGATAAAAATACGTTTCTTATGCCAACTTGTAGCCAAAATACTACTGAATCTCAAACCAGTCGTATCCTTGCACTAAATGGCTTGGTTTAGACACGATAGGTCTGAACAGAAAAGGTCCCATGTATTCTCTATGGGCGCCGCGAGGCCGTTGGCACCAGAGTTTCGGGAAGTGCCCTCGCCACAACCGCACGTGCAGATTTGGTCACGTGACCAAGCGCATTTGCCGCCACTGTATTTATATACACTGTGGCATAAGGGATTACTTTATAAATGCAAACACGAATTTGGGATAACGGGACAGTTGTTAAATTGGCTCAAGTCTTACCTGACTGATAGAAAGCAA